GCTAGTTTCAAACTAGTGACTTATTATTAATACTATGGTTGTGCCATTAAAACCTATTTTATAATTTCAGCCATGTTGCTCGAGAAAATCCAAACAAAAAGCACTCAAGCTGTGTAAAAAAACTTCCAAAAATGATAGTTTTATGGGGGCAAACGGCAATAAACTGCTAATTCTTTGTTAATGTGTAGGCAGTGATTTCATTTATATACTCATACATGGAGAAATATCTGTGCTTTTGAGTTAGTAGCATTTACTCACTCTAATCGGGTCATATAATAGCAAGCTAACATAAGCTTTGTCAATTTTCATTATTTCTTTTCAATCTTTATTAAGAAAATGAATAAGACCTCCTGGACATCACATGCCTACGAGAAAGACAAAAGACTAAAATAAACAGGAGATAAAGACAAAGAAACAGAGAGAGAAAGGGAAAATAGATAGCGATTTAAAATGTTATATGGGACCATTAGCATTGTCAGCTCCTCATGTGATGCAGCTTGCAGTGGCAGAGTTACTAGAATAAAAAGATAACAAAAACATCACTTTTTGTTAGACTCTCGTTTCCTTGTGCCAGGCAGACTTTCTGGTCCAGGAGTAACGAAACAATTCTGGCATAAGTTGGACGTCGTGTCATGCCAGTTTTATTTATTCATCGTGAAATGTGCCAGAAGTTGGGCGAGCATTCCCGTGGAAGCTCAGTATTAATGTTAAATGGTGTTTTGACCAACCAGTAGGTCCCACAGTGGATATCTGGCTGTGCCATCATAAATCTACCGAGCCGTCTGACATGCGACACTGTTCTCTCACCCTGAACTAATGTACCTTCTGTCAATCGCCATAAAAGAGCAGATACTCAGCAGCTTGACCCAGCCTTATGTCTATATTGTAAAAGCTTAAAGGATAAACTACAGTAGCTGGTCCCACCAGCTTGATGAGAGGTTCCCTCTAAACTACATGGCAACTGTTTATTTATTTATTTAGCACCTGTTCATACCTACTGGCCACACATGGATCATGTCCCATCTGTTTCAATATAAAGCTGAATGTAAGAGTGCGGCCAAGTACTACCACCACTCTCTTTAACTGCACATGGCCCTCTGAAGCCTAATGTCAGTCTGACACATATTGATGAATCCCTGTAACCTGCCCTGTTTAGCTGGTTGAGGCACAGGCGATTGGTCAGGCATTGACCTTGATTAGTTAGGATCGGGATAGGCCATTGGTCAGGGCGTAAGACCTAAACTAATCAGACGACCTGTAACTCTGCGAGCATGGTCATCTGCCCAATCCTAGCACTTGAATGCTACGCAGGACAGGTTTTTCCTAAAAGCGGTGGGATTCAAAATAACACCTCTGAAACAATATGCCAGCAAAAGGCCTCTCCTTCCGGCCACTCCTCAAAGTATCCCCCCCCCCCCCTCAAATGACGGAGAGGCAGCCACTTTCACCAAGCACATGTTAGCAGGATATGGATATCATGCCAAATCAAGTCAATTTTATACATAATGCCCAAAATCACAAATGTGTGTGGGAATGCTTTCCAACAACATCCAACATTAAACTTTCAATTCAAATTGGAAAAAAACAACCCTTTAACAGAGGTAGAAGATGACACATTTAAATGAGGGATTTCCTATAGAGTGTCAATTATTTTATGAATATGTCTCAAACATTTTTACAATTGACCCGTAGGCCTACTGTACATATTTACTGAAAGAAGTGAGCGCCCTCTTTTGGACATGACAGGGACTGTGTCTCTGCTCCTCTGTGTGAATGGTTCACCAGAGGCCGTGCAAAAGAGAATGGGTTGCGTAGCAACTGTAGATAGTAAAAAAATAAATATCTGAGCCTCTTGAGTATGACCCTATACAGATATGTTTAATTGTGTAAATCCTGCTCTCGTCCTCCCGAAGGAGTAGAGAGGCAAGAAAGCAGAGGCGGAAACAACCTGATCTATTTTAGTCGTTGTACGAAAACAGAAAAAAAAATAAAAATAAGGTTTATTTTTGATCAGGTAAAAATTGGGGTTAGATTAGATCTGAATCTTCAAAATAATTTTTAAAAAATGTATCCCCATCGCCTTCAATAAATGAAATCAATAACTCTGCACTATCTCAAAATACATTTACAGTGAGTTTGAGCACATTCTTTGTTTCATGTTCATTACCAAGAGGATTGTTAAACCTCTGTATTCTGCTTTCACTGCCCTCTCTTATCCCAGTATCTTGACCCCTGACTTCTGCTTCAAAAAATACCATTTCTATTGTTACTGAAGTTTAACTATGTTTAAAAGGTTATGCTGCATATTAACTGCTCACAGCTGGCGTGCCACGACACGATTTTAACAGGATGTATCAGTAACTAAGCTGCACACAGGGTGGACACAATATCATGAACACGTGCAGAGCCATACTTATGTCAAATACAATATGTCGAATGTGTTTTTATATTGTGTTAACCTCATTTGTACATGCAAAGGACGTAATTTCCCTAATTCTAAGCCACATCTACTTATATTACTAGAATATTATATATATATATATACACACATACGTATATATACTGTATATATACATATGTGTGTGTGTGCATGTCTTTAAAATTACATGGTATATATCATAAGATAATCTGTACACAATTGTTCAAACAATTTGTGGCGTTTTTATTTGAAAAGATGATTTCTCAGTAAACTGTTTCTGGATGGGAAAAGCTGGGATTTGCTTTATTAAAGGGCCATCTGAGATGTTGTCAGAGGAAGGTAAGATGCACTTCAAATGTCAGTATCTGTTGGGAGAAACTTCAGAGGGAATACAAGTAAATAAGATGAGAGGAAATTGTATTGATCCCTGGTGGTAAATTGGATTGTTGCAGCAGTAAAAGCAATGGGACTTCAACAGAAAAAAGAAAAAAAGGAGCGTGAGAGAAGCAATAAAATGAAAATAATACGAGCAATGAAGCCACCATGAGAACAGAATAAACAATTATGGCTTCGTGTCAGAACAGATTATGCTGACAATTTGTAGTGTGTGTAAATTGGACTGTGGAGACTGAAGAGGTGATGACTCAAATATTTCTGAAATATGAATTGTTTCTAATGTATTACCGGTTTGCAGCAACAGCTTTGCTTGTTATCCAAATCAGCTGAACTCGTATTTTTTGATGTGGAGTGTTAGTGCTGATCGGCATTTTTCCTCCTTAAATCTCTGATGATAATCCCAGTGAAAACATTTTGAGTGACACGGAGGAGTCCACATCCACGTCTATTTATGTTGCCATTACTGAAGGCAGTGAGTAAAGACCAAGTTCATCAACAAACGTGTGACAGAACTTGCTTTAGTCCTCTGAGCTCTCAAGAACAAGTCCTTCGCAAAACTTCTCTTTTGCTCCTGGTCCTGGGTTAGTTGTTTTTGCCAGTGGTTATTTGTCTGATAGCCAAGATTTCCAAAGCAACAAATAACTAATTTTATAGTCTTTTTAATATTTTGTGCTTGTGAGTGTGTGAAAGGGATATTGGAGAGACCACATTTCTTGGCAGCAGCTCCAGAAGTTCCCTCTATTTCTCTGCAGTTATTTCTACCACTAACTTAACAGTAATTTAAATACATATCACAAAAACATAATAAAAAACAATATTATTCTTTAAATTAAGCATTATTTGGAAAAAAAAGTGTGTTGCAGATGTGCAACTGAGTCAAGTGTGAGTATACTGTAGTTGCACACTCGAGGTATCTGATGAGATTAACTTCAAAATATATGAAGGTTGAACAATACAAAATATAACCTTATATTCTCTAAATAAATCAGTAATTTGAAAAAAGAGTGAAATATGCAACTGTGTAGAGATTGGCCAGTTTAAATGTGTAGGAACACAGTTGAGGTGTCTACCCCTAACTTACAGGATTTGCTTCGTAAAATCATCATCTTGTCAACTTTGAAGAGGTAGATGTTTTCGAAATCCTTCGTCCATTAGTAAATATTCTTCTCATAGTCGGAAATCATTAAAGTTTCAAAGAGACAAGAAAATGACTTCAAAGAGACACAAGGAACCACTGCAAAACGAACAAAACACATGCAAGATCAAGTATGTCAGCAAAAACATGCAAGATTGGGCACAAATTTAAAAACCTGGCTACAGAGCTAATAAAAGCATTCAAGCAGCGATGCTAGTTTGTGGCTGTTTCATCTAACTAACAATTATATTGCTGATTGATAAATCAACTGGTTGTTTTGTCAATAAATCCATGTATTGTTACATCTATAAAATGTCAGAAAATATGCTTAATTGCAAGGTGCTCACATTGTTGTTTTACCCGACCAACGTCAAAATCCACAGATATAGGAATCATATAGGAAAAAGTAAAACTTCCAATTATCACATTACAGAGGCAAGGGTTGGCTTGAAAATTAGTTAAAGGACTATTGACTCAATAGTCACTTGCCTTGTTTATATTGTTATGGCTTTTATTGTTTCTGTTTTTACCATGTAAAGTGCCTTTGAGTACCTTTTTAAAGCGCTATATAAATAAAATCTATTATTATTATGATTATTATCAAATGGTGGATTGCCTAATAGATTAACCAACAGTATGTTTCAGTTCAGTTATGTGACAAGGGTGAACTCAATGTGAGATAAACAGACCATTTTATTGCACGTTGTTGGATCAGTATTGAAGAACATATGCGGGCGCTGTCCATTACCTGCGGTGCTGAAAATGATTACTCAAACCAGTATTAATCAATCATGTTTAAATGTTAACGGTACACTACATTAATAGCGTTACATTATACTTCCTCGATTAAGGCTGTAGGCTACAATCTTACTTAATTATATCTGCTTCAAACAAGTGGCCATGAGAAGCTAGTTGGAGCCAAAAGTGCCAGTTTCCTTCACCGGCTCACTCCAGTCAGAGCGTGGTGTTGCGTTCTCCCCTCCTCTCCGTTGTTGCGATTCTTCAACGTCCGATGGGTAGTTTTCTTACGCTCCCCGATCTATTGCAATTCCTATTACGTCGTGGGCGTAGCGGCTCCTTGTAATGGCGACCGTGCCGTAGATGTGCCCAGGTTTGTGAAAATGAAGCGAAGAAGAAGTTATTTCTTTTAAGTAAAACGCCGAGGTTCCCCGGAGGAGGACTTTGCGTCTACAACCATCATCTTTATAAGTGGTAAACTTAGCTGTACTTTTGAACTTTTGTGCTCTTTGAGATGATGAAGCTCAAGTCAAACCAAACCCGGACGTACGACGAGGATGGCTACAAGAAGCGGGCCGCCTGCCTGTGTTTCAGGAGCGAGACTGAGGAGGAGGTGAGTCCGGTGATGTCGCTGTCTAGCGGGCCAAGCTAGCATTAGCATTGTGGCTACTCTGTCTGTGACTCGGTAACGTTGTATTTGTCAATACAGCTGTGGTTTTATGCCAGCTAGAAACGATGACTCACTCGTTTCTTAACCTCTTGTATTGTCTTCTGTCGTTGTGTATTAAACATTAGTTTTGAGTTTGCACTCACCAAAAAGGTTATGTAAGCCTTTAGCTGTGCATATACCAACCTCGGGGTTTTATACACAGCGTTACTTGGAGTCAACCTGTTAGCAGCACGCTAATGCTAACGCTAGCCTGCTAACTAGCCGTGTTGCTGCTGTGGGCAGCCGGCTCTCAGCCAGCGACCACAGCCCGGGCTGTGATGAGCGGTGACTTTATCATAAGGAGACGAGGTAGATATCATTTATCTTTCCAAAGTAACAAGTATGTATCTGCTCCCGTTACAGATGATTAAACGAGCTAAGTAACTGTTGGTGTTAACTGGGTTAGCGTTAATGCAACTGGTTTGATAGCCAAACATGGGACTGATGTAACTATTAGCTGTGCTAGCTTTAACCAGCAGACAACACTGGTCGCGAAGCCCGGTTGTCTTGCATCACTGCTTATTTTACGTTGTTGACTTTATGACATCAAATCCATAATAATACGATTTTGGAACAGCCACCCTGCTTCATGACAACCCCGAAACCTGTTTAGTTGTGTACAAATGTCACCACGTAGTTACCATAACTGTTTATATGCCACTCGCTACCATCGTGCGCTCTCCCACGAAAAATCCATCAAAGTAGTACTTTACAGGGTTATTTGAGATCAGAGGCGATTTTTTGGGAAGCTGATGTCAACAACACGCTCAAAGATGTCTTTGTAGTTGAAACATTATTACTAGGGAGGCAGACTGATCAGAGACTTAATTCCTCATTCCGGTAAAAGTAGAGGCCAGATCGTGAACATGGGCTGATTTACAGGAAACACATCAGTCTGACCTGCACATAGCTGGAAACCTTTACCAGAAACAGTGAGCCAGAACACGTTGACACCATGAACTCACCATACTACTGCAGATACAAAACAGCAAAGTTAGTGATTCATACATTAGCTATTGGGGGGGGAAAAACAACAACATCCAGCTGGATAACTTGGCCCCAGTTCATTTCAGATAGCCTTGATAGTTTTCAGTGTCATTATTGACTGGTAGTTATTGTGTCGGATGTTGGTGTTTGCCTCTTCTTGTGAATACTATGAACACAGATCACTGAATAATCTTGCTCGAGCAGCAACACTTGTTTTAATGTGAACACAAACCATTTAACACGATTAACAAACAGCATGGAGTTAGGCTGTAATGCCTAACCAGGTTTGTATGGGACGCTTCGCAGGTGCTGTTGGTGAGCAGTAGTCGACATCCCGATAAGTGGATAGTTCCTGGAGGGGGAATGGAGCCCGAGGAGGAGCCCAACGTTGCTGCAGCTCGAGAAGTGTGTGAAGAGGTTGGTTCTTTAACTGTTTTTCATAGTTATAATATCTGAATTAAGCCTATATTGTGGCCCCCTTTTCATTTTCTAATGCAGTCCCTATGTAGACTGTGCACTTTAATTGACCCATGTGTCTGAAACATGAATGTAAAAATATTCCTCTCTGAACTTGGTTTATAGCCAGGAATATTGTTCTGAGAGTAGATTTCCATTTGCAGCGTGGCAAATTCGTTTTGAGTTGAAGCTCATAAGATGTATTGTGTTTCATCTATTCAATCATGTCTGCATTTAACACTGGGCCTAATACCTCAACCGGCTGTGGGCTCTTGGCGTGTCACTGACCACACAAAGCATATTCTCTGTGTGTGATCATCACACTGATGGATGCTGATACCACCCCTTATCCTGGCTCCTCGCTGTTTGCTAGTTTTTGACGGTTGCAGGACGCTGCGGCTTGCCAATACATTTTCCACAGGGGTCAAAAGCATTGTGGCATCACTACTGATGTTTGTCATAAAATGAGTGGTAAAAGGCCGCATTCCGACACTTTGAGGTGACTTTCATGCATCGCCGTGTCTTGTTGCTTCCTAAGCTTCTTATTGGTCTGTGGTGTAACAGGACATATCCTAATCCTGGCCGAGCTTATTCTGATGACCATATGAGTGATTGCTTTTGCTTATTGGTTTGAACTCTTGCCAGTCCGCAGCAGGTTAAACGATTACAGAGAGTTCGTTTGGTCTGTCTGACACGTTCACAACCTGGGCTTGTGCTCGATAGTCGTACACCAGGAAGACACAGGACTCAATGCTTTGCATCCGCTGTCCCAAGACGATGGCCAGTAGTCTTCAGTTACATGAAATGCTTGAGTTGGGAGACATTTTCCATCTCGAAACATACAGGTTGACTTTTGGCCTATTGCTTAATCCCTGGCATGACTTCGGGGTTTCCAGTGGTGGGCCTGTTCTTTCACATATGATCTCGGAAGAGTCCAACTCTTGAGTCCACGGTGTCGTGAGTGCAGTCAACATGTATTTATAGACTGAAACTGGAACCTGAAGAAGAAGAAGCGGCAAAGATGTCAGCAAGTGGCTTTGGCTCTGTATCTAAACCTGACCTGCTGACCACCTCTGGGAGTTGAGATCTAGCTTGGAGATTATTGTTTTTCCCATTGTTGTTATGTTTTAAAGGTAACAAGCAAGTCATCCACTGTCTAGGATAGGTTGTGACATTTGCATGGCTTGGGTGTGAAGGGTCACAGGAAGAGAAACGGTGAATCTGTTTGCTTGTGACCTTTATACTTGATCTTTATGGTACTCCAAACCTCTTGTAGAGGAGCCATCAGTATGTGACAGTAAGTGATAGCGGAACAGAGGTGTTTACATGTGTTTTGCAGCTGTAGAAATAAGAGCCGCAACAATTGCTCAAATGGCAAAGTTTTTCTTGCAGCGGGGGAACAATGCCAAACCTCCTCATATGTGTCAATTAACGGATTGTCTCCGTTTTTACAATTGCAATCAAACATCTTGGAGGTTTTCACTGCTTGTTGGACAAAACGATACGTGTGGCTTGGGATCCAGGAGATAGCGATGAGCATTTATCACCGTTTAACGTTTTTGTAGACCAAAGGATTTATCTGTTAATATATTAATATAGCAGAAATTAACTATTTTCAAAGATATAGTGGAGTGACGTCGACCTGAGCAGACAGTGAAAGTAGTTGTGCGTGTGTGTGGTTTTGTGTGTCTTGTCAGAGCTTCTCCGTGCTTTGCTGACATATCCGGGCCGGCCGCTCTTTCTTTCAGTGCTTCTTTAATCAAGAAAATAAGTGTCAGATTAAATCAATAATGAAAACAATCGTTCGTTGTCACGCTTGTATAGTTTATCTAATGGTTTTCAAAAAGCCTGATTTCCAACTAAGTTGTTGTGACTTCAGATGTCTGATTCCAGAACGTAGACCGTCGGACTCGTTTGTATTACTTCCTGTTGGCTACATTGCACCTCATTGCACTGAAGTGTGAAATGAATGAATGGAGGAGGAATCGGTACATATAAGACATGGCTTCCAATGAAGTCACTGATGTTTGAATGTTTGACTCGTGTGTTACTTGGAGGATTCCGGAACAACCCGGGAATTAGAAGGGGATAAAAACAGTCTTATGATGTAATGTAATCCACTGCAGCACAAACAATTTAGAAATGACACAGCAAGGTTACAGCATGCAACGTTGACTGCTGGGCTGTTAAATTACATTGTTACAGCCCCGAGATGTCCAACTGTAACTGTATGCTGTGATATGTATTTACTCCATTTGAATAACTCTCCTCTCTTCTACAGGCTGGTGTGAAGGGCACTTTAGGTCGCTTAGTTGGAATTTTTGAGGTGAGGTTTGTTTTCAGTTGACTTTTTTTCTGTGTGTTTTTCAACCGTGACCATGACGCATGTTTTGTGAATGAAAATATTCACAGAACCAGGAGAGGAAACACAGAACCTACGTCTATGTCCTTATCGTAACAGAGTCGCTGGAGGACTGGGAGGACTCGGTCAACATTGGTAAAGCCTCGCATTTGTTTACTTGTAAAAACAAAACTAGGGATCATACGGGGCAGTCACATGCTGTCTGTAGCTCTGTTGTTCTTTCCCAGGCTTTACTGATATTACAGTTCAGGGATTTTACTGTACGTTTGTTGGGGGGGGGGGGGATTATAACAGCAGCTTTGTTCCTGCCCTCCTGATTTTCATTTGAACGCGGTGTACAGTGCTGATAATTACTAATTGTTTGTTGTGTCTCACATGTCCTAACTTGTTCCAACAATGACGTCTTGTTGTGTCCCAACAGGGAGGCAAAGGGAATGGTTCAAAATAGACGATGCCATAAGAGTGTTGCAGTGTCACAAGCCCGTGCAGGCCACCTACTTCGAGGCTCTCCGGGAGAGTTGCCCGACCAGCAACGGAACGCCTCTGGTGGCCACGATAAGCGAGGACCGGTCCCCGACCTACAGCATCAATCAGAGCTCCGTCTCGGGTATCAGATAACTAAAATCCTAACTCTGACACCTCCGGGGAGCTTTCTTCACCACTTGCGCTCTTACTCGTGTCTTTTCTCTCTTTTTCTTTTTTTCTCTCTCTCTCTCTCTCTTTTGCTCTCCCCCCCTCTGTTCTTTTCCTCTTCTCTTCTGTCTCAATAACATGGTTTGCCTTGCCAACTGCTTTGTGCCAGAACTGTGGCACAGACTTGATGACAAGTGTTGGGTGAATAGTCTGAAACACTTTGTAAATGTAAATGTAATTTTTGACCCCTTTTATTTTTTTTGTTTTCTTTTTACTGACAACTGCATGAAATGTCCCGTCTCTCCCCCCCCCCCCCCTCACTCACTCTCTCCCCTTAACGCGCCCTTAGCGTGGTGTTTATTGAATGCAAGAACTACTTTTTACTGTTGTAATGTAAAAGTGTATACTTAGTGCTTAAGCGGAAGGCTTTCTGGTGGTCTTTTTTAAAGTCTCCATTTATTTCTTTCAGATATATTTTTTTGTGGTGAATGAATGTGCCCATTTGTGTACTCCCCCCCCCCCCCCCATTTTAATAAGGATAGCAAATGTTGTCTGTATCGGAATGAACAGAATTGTGGGAAGTGACTTGTCTTGCATGAGCACCGTCATGTTGTGTCTCACTCGCTCGGGTGACCTGACTGTGCAAACAGACTTGTTTGTGGTGAGGTCTCTTTGGATTCTCTTCATTTTGTTCCTTATCGTTGTTGTTGACCTCTCTCTGATCAGAAGGATA